ATTCTCTGATTGGGTAAATTTTTAACTTTTGAAATATTACAGCTTAAAGCTCGGACACGTCAACATAATTTTTGGTCGTAGATTCCAAATCCGTGATCGGTTTAGCTGTATCAGGTTTAAAAAAGTTTTTCCTATTGGGAATCCGATCCGGGCACACACTGTATACTGGTATATTATAATTTGTAAAATAATATAATTCACCTCTTGTGCCAGCAGTTTTATGCTTTTTATTTTATTTAATATAATATCCTCAATTTTACTCTTGTATCTTTTGATCAATTGACTTCAAATTTTGCAAGAATTTGTTATTTTTTTGGTGTTTAAATTTATACAGGGTGTTTCCAATATCTTTTAATTTTGACCTGATACAGCTAAACCAAGCACGTATTTTTAATCTACGACCAAAAATTAAGTTTACGTGTCCGAGCGTTCAGCTGTGATATTTTCACCTCCCTACAGTGTTATTATACCCTGAAAAAAAGTGGTAAAAAATGGTAAAATTTAAAACTTGAAAACATTGGTCTTTATTTCAAATTTGGGTTTTCTATACCTCTATAGTCTCTAAAAAATAATAAGTCAAAAATGACTACTTGTAGCGAAAAAGCAGCCAATAAAAATTCTCATCAACATCATTTGTTTCCCGGACATTTAGCAGTCAATACCTATGTAAAAAATGTGTTCCTATGTAAAATTGTCCGCTAAATCCGAAAATGTCATCAAAAGTTATAAAAGTAAAACAGTTTTTGAGATATTGTAAATTTTCCATATAATATGGAATTGACTATATCTTAAAAACTGATTTACTTTAATAATTTTTGACGGTATTTTCGGATTCAGGAGACAATTTTACATAAGAAATGGCTGTTAAATGTCCGGGATACAAATTGCTGTGGACTACAGTTATTAGTAGCTGCTTTTTCACTTTAATATTTAACTAATTCATTTTAGAGAGCTTCTGCTCTCTAAATGTACATATGTACTGTAACAGGGAGAAAGTTCGAAAAAACCGTTAAAATAATTCGTGGAAAAACCAGAAATTAAGAGTTTCTTAGAAAAGTTTAGAAAGCGTTAACATGTGCGAAATAAGTAATTTTGAAAAGGATTTCCAAATTCCCACCTTGTTTGTTCCCGACCTTTCACAGTACTTAATTTTTTCAAATCAACTATAGACAGATAAAAGTCTATTTTTTAAATTTAACCACAGGTATGTCCTCTCAAGTAATTTAACAATGTTTCCTAAATATTCTCTGGGTCCAACAGTTTTTTCCATCCAAAGCCAATTCAATAGCTTGGAGCAAACATATCAGGGGTCTAATATCAAACTCAGCAAACTCTATTTGAGTAACATTTTCAGAAATTAAAAAATACGCAATTACTTGGTTATTTATGCAATAATATTTTTACTTAATTATTTAAATTGGATTCGTATTAATCGTTGATAAATGTGATAAAGTTTGCTAATACAAAATATATGCGTTTGCTGTATTGATATTAATCATTGCAATGCTTTCCACATCTGTCTTAATTTTTTGTATAATTTCATTTTTAGAATCAATGTTAACTGCTGTGCCTTTGCATCCAACAGCCGATAACTTAGACAAATCCACATTTTCTTTGAAAAAACGTTGACCTTAATGTAATTAGAACTGCCAGACATTAAAGTGAGATGGCCAAGATAACTTGAACCTGGTTCAAATTCCAACAAAATAGGTTTAACTACAGTTTTTTTTAAACTTTACCCTTTTTTGCTGAACCAGGTTTTATCTTTTCGCCTATCAAAAAAGATTTTATAAACCATCGGTCCTGGGTCCTTTAATTTTGTTTTCAGATTTGTGCGGCATTTTATTCATTCTCTTCAGAAAAATCTTATTTTGCTTTGGTCATTTTAGAGTCTTCATTTGATATAAGGAGTCTTGATTTGATATAATTACTAGATCTTTCGGTGCTGCGCTGGCCAAAATTGCTGCTGATCTATCGGAAACTCCGGTTATATCACAATATTCTGCTAGACTAAGTAATTTTGTTTTCATTTGCGGACAACAGAATTACAATGGTAGAACTAGATTGTTTGTCTAAATTGGAACAATAGTAGAAGAATACCGTTGGAATGTAAAATTATTTGTACTCTCTAAAAATTAATTAGTTAAAAATTACTAATTTAATAGTTATTAGTGGCTGCTTTTTCACTTGTACCATGGTTAATCATGGAATACCATGGTATCCTAAAATGCATGCTAAAATGTTTGGAGCAGTTTTTGAGATAAAATCAATTTCATATTCAATGGAAAATTGACTAAATCTCATAAACTGTTCTACTTTTTTAACTTTTGACGACATTTTCGGATTCAAGGGACAATTTTACATAAGAATTGGCTGTCAATTTTTAGCATACCATGGTATTCCAGTGAAAAAGCAGCCACTAATAACTATTAAAGTAGTAATTATTGACTAATTTATATTTAGAGAGTATATTGATCTATTCACTTTCACTGTTTATTATCCGATATCCGATTTTCCACATTATCTTTCGTATATATTATTTTGCCTCTTATACTTTATATTTTTATACCTTGTTTTTTTTCTTTCGTTTTGTTCAAACTTCCTTTAAAGTTTTAAGCTTTCTTTAACTTCGACTTTGCCTATTGCCATCTTCCGCGTAGTTCATTGGTCAGTCAGGAATTCTTATTCGGCTTCAGGCACTTTTATATTACAAACGTAAGAAATAGTATAGTCTTTACATTAACAAGATGCTACATCAAAAAGTTTTCTTTCGCCTGCGTCCAGGTTTTTTAATTGTCCTGTTTCTATTATAATATTCCTTTATTTGGTATAAAATCTGTTGGACTAAAATACGTCGATAAAACGGTTTTCAAAGACACAGTAAGACTAGGCTCTTTTTTAGTTTTTTCAAGTAACAAAGACAAAAGGATAATTTCATATAATTTGCATATGTAGGCAATACATTATATTTTTTAATATTTTGGAAAAAACTTTTGCGATCAAGGGTTTGAAGTTTAAGTAATGTTTAGCAATCTTTTCAACATTTCATCTGTTTCATAGAGGGATCAACAATCTTTTCCTTTTTTGAACAAATAATTGTGGGTAAATTGCTAAATTATTCATTATAAATTCTGCCAATTCTACTAATATTGTGAAATCATTGTTAAAACAAAATAATAAATATTTTGACATGTTTGACATTTTAATGAAATGAAAATATTTCAGAAGCGCCTCTCGTGTCAAAATGAATCGAACATTTGGCCAAGAATCATTAAGGCACCATCCAAAAACACTTAATTCAATTGAACGTGTATAAAAGTCGACAGCTGAACAAGAAATTAATTACAAAAGCACCAGTAATTATGAAAGGGTAATGGGTGTAGAGAGGCACCCCGCCAAATCATTTTTTTTTTCGAGAAGTCCTTCGAATTCTCGATTGCATTGTGTGGATCACGCATGGCCCGGTGGCCCGGCAGGGAGGCACGCGTCCCCTTCTAGAAAAAGAATAATAATGAAGACTTGCTTGGGGTTAATTTTGATGGGGTGACGACTTTGTACTGTGAGAACGTATCGGCAATTTGTGTGCCATTAATTTGTATGTAAATCGCTGCCAGATTTAAATCGAATCGCTCTGTTTGGATTCGGTAACGTGTGCTGTAGATTACGATTACTCGGCCGAAATTCAAAGTAAACAAATGTGTAAGGTAAATACATATTCTATAAAAAGGATTTCGGGGGCCTGGCAAACATAAATTACATCCCTTTTTATTAAATACATATTAGATCTAATTAAATAAGGTTTTATTTTTTAATGTTAAAGAGATAGTGATAGTTTAGTACCTTTAATAAATATATTAAATATATATAGTTTATTTAGTAAAACATTAAAATAATGGAAATAAACTAATCTTTAAAACTACTTATTAAAAATTATAACTTGGTTATACCTTGTTTTTTTTTCCTTACCTAAAAAATATCTAAGCTGGTTGATGCAGTAGTTATCATTTTTCTTATAAACTATAGTTTATATCAGGCAATTTTGGAAGCTAAAAGTTTGATGATGCCTCTTAAAAGCTTAACTTTTTGGAATATTTAACATCGGAATATTGTTATAGGAATCTCTAATTCTAAGTAGAGCTTCATTCCAATATCCCACATAAAACAAGCTTACTCTTCTATTTTAGAGTTTTCAGAAAAAGATGATTGTGAAATTTTCCCGGAGGAACTTTTTGTTTTCTTCCCTCTGTTTCTTTCTATTTTCCCTTGCTGTAGTTTTAAGGACAGCACTATTCTACATTACTTAAAAAATCTTCTATTTGGTATTGAAGAAAAACTATGTCATCAGCGTTCTTTATTTTAGTTAGAGCGTCTTCCGCAGTATCATCAAACAAATCATCGAGATCACTTTTTAAGATACATCCCACGAAAAGTATTATTTTTGCTTTGACGAGTACGGTGCTTGTTGAAAGCTAAATATCGTTCATACAGTACGTTCATACAGTAGTCAAAACTGCTTTACTCCTCTGTTTTGCAACACGAGGAAGTTGATCTGTAGAAAATCATGAAATTGGCTGTCCGAGAAGTCAGTTGGAGCAAATCTCGTCGACATAAACGATTACTTAATAAGTAAATTATGAACACAAATAAACATAAACATAGACCACAGATTAAATATACTTTTCTGTTTGCACTCAACACAAGATTTAGTATTTTAAATTAGTAAAAATAAAATAATTTTGGAATAAAAATTATCTTGTTGTTAATCCTCATACTTGCAGGTAAACAAAATCACTAACTTTGAAGTTATTATAATTTCCATATTTTTCACAATTTGCACTTTAACTTGGCACCTAAAGATATTATACTACCTTTGTACTACCATAGAAAGCCGAATTTTTGTAGGATAAATACTACACCAAACTTTAACAGTTTTTTCTCCATACAATTGGGGACCACCCGACTAAACATATACTTATTTAAGTTTTTTTTATTTGATTTAGACGAATCAGGATGCGAGGTTGATATGGCAGAAGGTAGTGTCGAAGAGGACAGTAACGATATGTTGGGTCCAACAACAGCCCCAGTGCTTCAAACACCTGCGCCATCCAATTGCAGCATCAAAGACGAGGTAAGAAAACATGTTATCTATCTACGCGATAAAATCACTTTACTACTATTCAATGGATTTCCTCTGCAATAATATTTAATAACTATTTATTTACTTTTATGTTTGTGTTGTGTTTGAGTGTTCATAAATATTTACTAACAAGAGTCGACATTAGTAAATGTTATCGAATTGATTTTTATATTAACTAGTACCAATTAATAAAAGAAATATATAGTTTTGCTTGAAATGATTATAATTTCTTTTTCTACTCCCACCTTTAAAAAGCCCATTATTATTAATAATAATATTATAATAATAATAATGTATTATACATTATACCATGACACTTAGTGATCTTTTAAATACACATTGACAAGTTGTGGCTTTCTCGCGTTTTAGTTACGGGCTGAAGTTATTTTTAAGTTGGTTGACAAATGCCAAATGTCATACAATCGTTAAAATAAAGTGCCCTTTTTGTAAAATAATACTACCAAATGTAAAAATTAATTTGTTTTCTCAATACAAAAATACAAAAGTATTTCCCAACGCAAATATTTTAAAAGTTTATATGAACATTGTACTGACCTTTTAATTTCCCGGCAGTAAACTAGATTTCACTTAATTTCGGGTGAAAACTCCACCGTGAAATGCCAATAAAACATTTACTTTACTTTTACTGAAAAAAACTGCTTTTATATTGGATTAAACGGTCCATTTTCAAGGGATACAATTCGATTTATTCATAAAAATTTGAAATTTCCAAGTTGGCTACTCTATTGTTTTGTACATACAAATATTTAATTTAAATCATGTTAAGATATTATTATGTATTTGTCAAAAAAAAAAGGTTAGTATGCAATTCGATGATAAACTTTTCTAGACACTCATTTAATTAAGCACTCGCTATACATAATATAGGTACTACTATGTTTTTTCTGGTAGTACTTTAAACAAAATTTATATTAGGTTTTAAAAACTTATTTAAACAATAAGGTTTGTGAAAAAATATTGAAAAAAAAACAAAACAAAAACTTATTATTGATGAATCAGAGCTGCCAATATCCATTAAATGTAGATCGTTGTTTAACATCATTATCATAATTGTATTACATGCAATACAAAAGGTAAATTACATATTTTGCTTTCTAAATCTATTATTAAATGCTAAATAATTAATGAATGTTTACATACTTTTAATAAGCTAATTTAATATTCAAATCGCCTTTGCTATCATTATTTGTTTAGTAATTGTAGTAATACCCTATATATTGTTTATTACTTAGAATTTTTCAAACATGTAAATTATTTTTTATGCATGATATGGATTTTTAAATGTCTTTCGTATCCTGAACAGTCATCGGTAAGTTATTATTTAATTATTAATTTTAATTATGATATTTTGTTTGTATAATGTTTATTGAGCCATTTTAATTACCTATTATTTATTATGGTAAAAAATTATTCATTTAAATGTTTAAATGTAAATGTTAAGGTCTTTCGTAAAATTACAATAAATGTCATTAAAGTTAACAGGTTTCTTTAATATACAGGAGTTTTGGAACCTTTTCTGTTAAAATTACAAACCTTTAACAATACTGAGATCTCTTCTAAATTCTTAGATTCTTGTGTTATGTTTAAAAAAAAAATGCATTACAAATTTGAACTTTTCTTATGTATAATTTGGTTAAATTTTTAGTTGTTTCAAGATGGTACAGTCCAGTCAAGTAATGCAAATAAGGGGTTTACAAATATTCAGAAGTTTTGACACAAAATTACAAAATTAAATTTTGGGGAACATTCAGTAGGGTCCCTATGGGAACAAAAATAGGTATTACTATTTATAAACATTCAATTTTATTAGTTTCTTTAAGAAACTTTCTTGACCCATTACTGGTAATATTCATAAGAAAAAATTGAACCTACACCTCGCCAAAGTTTTTGGTTTTGAGTGGGTTCCACCAACTTCAAATACCGACAGAAAGCTGTTTCGACCCACAAAAATATTAAAATCGGCCCACCCTAATATGTATTGTTCATGTGGCATGTAGAGTTTGGAGGTGTTCGAAATGTAACCAATTGGACACATTTCGAAACACAAAATATATATATTGGGCCCTGTTACAACTTGGATTCATTTTGACACAGTAACGGATAAGTTCCTATATTGCGTCTCTATATCCATGTATAGTCATTTTGGCAAAATACTTGATTCTAATTGGACACATGTGGCAAACATGTATGTTTGGTTTTTTTGTGCCCATACGGAATAAATTTGGTACAAATTATGGCAACATAATAGAAACTAGTGTTTAATCGGACACATATCATACATTTGCCATAGTTTTGTTGTTAAAAGTATTGGAATTTTTTTTTTTATTTATACAAATTATAAATATTAAGAATTAGTTATTATTTTGAGGCCCATTCTATTTTTTGCTTATAACCATCAATGAAATTTGATTTCAATAAAAATTAAGGCAAAATTTAGCCAAAATTCTAAAGTATTTTTTCCATTCCCACCTTTAAAACGCCCATTATCGTACATGTTTCCATGACACTAAGTGAACTTTTAAATACACATTTACAAGTTGTGGCTTTATGGCGATTTAATCTCGGGACGAAGTTAGTTTTAAATTGGTTGTCAAATGTCATACAAGCGTTTCCTTTTTAGGAAAATAATACTAAATGTGAAAATTATTTTATTATCTCAATACAAGAATACAAAAGTATTAAATAAACAGCGCACCACTCAATGTGTTCGTCCTTTTTCAAACCGACATAACTTTTTTGTTTCTTGAACGATTTTATTTTGGACTATGATGTCTGCTAACCCCATCCTTTGGCAATTCATGCTATAGATATTAAGCCCACCGTTCTTCAAGTAAATTTCCTACAGGGTGATATGTAAAACCGTCAAAAATTTCAACTTCTTCCAAGCCCCTTTGTAAAAAAATATTTTTTTTTTAGTTTTTACTTTGAAATAATAAAGTTTTATGTGTTACCTTGAAACCTTTTTCAAATTTTTTGAATTGGAATCTTAGCAACGAAAATATGATTTTTTTCCAAAAGAGTACATTTAAGGCTTTTTGGTAGGCAATACACTTTTTAAAAACAAGAAAATAAGATGTTGAAAGATTATTCCTTGAATAATTCTGAACAAGCGACAAGCAACAAACTTCCAATATTTTTAGAGGGGCCTAAGCAAATACCACTTTTTCAAAATGACATTTTGGTGAAAATTTGCGAAAACTAAACCTGAACCGATATTTACGTTCGTGACATGTTTTCTTTATAATTTTGACCTCCTGATTGTGATTCAGTTGTCAAATTTAAGTTTCAGATATAACCAAAGTAACCAAGAATCAAAATTCGAAAACAATTCCCTGCTGTTAAATGTCTTAATAAAATCCGATTGATGGCGAGTTTCTTGCATATTTATGATGAAAATGCCATATGGGGATTCATTTTTTGGGCGAACATACTGCAATTTGTTTGAGTGGTTAGGATAATGTTACATACACATACACATTTACATATACATTTACACTGCGCAGTAGTGATAACATCATTGATAAGTACCTACCTAATTGGTAATAAAGTTAAATAAAAATATTTTTGTTCATTTTTGAAAATTTTATGTGTAGATATAATCATAATCAAAACTTCTACATTCAACAGAAAAATGTAACAAACAATAACAATAATAACTTTTAATATTTCGTTGGCCCTCCCCTAACCCGTAATAGTTCGTTAACCCTCCTGGGCATTCACTGGACCAAGTTCCTTAAAAATTCTTGGGGTACCCCATTCTTCCTGAATAGCATTTACCAATTCATCCAAATTTTCCATGCGTCCATCCCTCTCTTTCAAATTCAATTTCATCCTGCTCCACACATGCTCAATAGGATTCATATCCGGAGACAAAGGTGGCCAATTCATTATCTCAATTTGGCGGGCATTGTCGTCCACCAACACCAATTATTGGCAACATTTTGAGCATAAGGGACCACGATATCAATAACAACCAAATCTCTAAATCTCTCAGCATTCACTCTTTCCATTCATCGCCATTCCACCCCAAACAGTCACTCCTCGACTTCCAAAAGCCACCCTTGCCTCCCGTTTCGTGCAATCTTCTGTGAACCGTTGATTTGGAGATGTTTATTCCCGTAGCTGCAGCAAAGTCTGGCATTGCCATTTTAATCATTTAAAGGAAGAATAAAAGTAACCTGGGTAAGATAGGGATAGGTATTTAGGTAGGTAGGTATAACTTATGCAAAAAAATCTTCGAAATTTGGAAAACACAAGCAAACTGAAAAAATCAAGAATATCCCTCATAATGCGTTTTGAATGTTTTTCAAGAACTAATTTTCATCATTTGATCCTCGATTTGATCATTTAGCGACATAATAATAACGTACAAAAGATGCAAAACACAGTAAAAAAACAGTAAAAACCAGCAATCGGATTTTATTGAGACATTTAACAGCCGGGAATTGTTTTCGAATCTTAATTTTAGTTTTATCTGAAACTTAAATTTGACAACTGAATCACAATCAGGAGGTTAAAATTGTGAAGAAAACATATTACGAACGTAAATATCGGTTTAGGTTTAGCTTTGCAAACTTTCCCAAAATGTCATTTTCAAAAAGTGGTCTTAGCTTAGGCCCTCTGAAAATAATGGAAGTTTGTTGCTTGCCGCTTGTTCAGAATTATTTAAGGAACAATCTTTTACCATCTTATCTTCTTGTTCCTAAAAAGACTGAGTGTATAGAAAAGCCTTAAATGTACTCTTTTGGGAAAAAAATCATATTTTCGTTGCTTAGATTCCAATTCGAAAAAATTGAAAAACGTTTCAAGGTAACACATAATACTTTATTATTTCAAAGTAAAAACAAAAAAAAAATATTTTTTTTACAAACGGGGCTTGGATGAAGTTATTGAACCCTACCCTGTAGGAAATTTACTTGACGAACCGTGAGCTCCATATCTATAGCATGAATTGCCAGAGGATGAGGCTA